GTTATTTATAATTATAATTAACACTATTATTTGATAAATAAATCTTTTTAGTCCTGATACACATACATACTAGTAGATCGAAATTTTAATTAATAATATTTTATTACTACTAATAATAATATTATTTATATAACAATATTATACATCAACCCTACTCTATATATATATATCATATTCCTAAAGATCTTTTTACAATATTTTTAACAATCCTATTATATTCTTCTCGATCTGTTCTCCAAATTTTCTATTTTTTAAAAAAAAAACCAAATCAATCAATTAATTAAAATCATCATTCATATAAAAATCTAAATTGTCCAAATTTTACATACACATGCTTCAATATTAGCACCACTTTCATCATTTGGTTCAGCTAACATACTAACAACACTTAATAAAATTTTTTCTACACTTTGAACAGGTGACCATCGCTCTGCACTACTTTCATACATATTTGGATCTTCGCCTGGTGGATGAAGAATTGATATACATACCAATCCATCTTGATATACTATTATAATTATAAATTTATAATTGTTAATTGAATTAATGAATGATCATCAAAGATTATTAAAGATTGGTTTTTTTTTAATTAATTTTTATTAAAATAAATACCATTTGGATGAAACATTTCACATGTAAATTTCATACTTGGTGGTGAAAGCGGATAGTCTGTAGGAAATCGTAGTGTAGCTGAAAATATACCACCTTCATATGGTGTACCTTCAGGCCCTCTATTATATATATATATATATCATTCATTTATCATCAACAAAAATGAAATATAAAAAGAACCAATTAAAAAAATCGAAAGATCAAAATTATGTAATACACTTACGCTATGAGAGCCTCCCATTCAAAAAATGAATCTTCAGATACTGGCCCTTTTTTATTATTATTAATTATTTATCAGAGATTAGCAAAAGTATAACATTCATAAATAAACATCCTTGAAAATAATAAATAATATATATGCCTGCAGTAATTCCTTCTGGAGCATTTAATGTAATCTCTGTTGTTTTTTTTAAAGTAAATAAATAAATAGTTGGTGTTAGTGTGAATGTAACAACGTGAATATATTGAACGTTGCTGCTATATTAATTAACCTTTATACTC